AACTACTTTCAGTTGTCTCAATTTTTCCAAATGAACACCCGAGAAATTTGTTGGAAATTACATGGGTCGAATTGAGTATTAATCCTAAATTATAATATATTTGAAACATAAATAAAGTACGTGTTCAATCCAAGGAATCATAGAATACAAGTAGTATTAAAAAATAACTTACACGTAGAGGTTCGTTTTCCAAAGAGGTATCGGTCCAGTGAGAAGGTTTCCAGTTAAAAATCTGCCCAAAATAGACTGTCAAGTATAGTATGCAAATCTTAATATTTCTTGAAACCGACATTGAGGGAAATAAGTTAGTCATCTTTAATCACACCCATTCACCTCTACTTTTATTAGAAGGATTGAATTGATTTAGACAACTGTCTCGAGGGACCCTTCTATTTATAAAAGTGTTTCAATTCTTAGACTCCGACTAAGACCAATGAAATAACAAGAAATCCTAAACATATCACTTTGACACTCGCTATCACACTTTGTATATTGTCACTTCCTTTTCAGATAGAAAGGGCATGTGATCCTTTTGACACAAAAGTTGCTTCAGAAATGTGCAAATACATTTTCCTGAACTTCAGAAATCAATGCATGTGATCCAAATTGATTTTGCTTAATAGCGAGTTGAATGTAAAGTGATTTATGTTTTGATAACTTTATGCAAAATTGAGTTATACAGTAAATTTCAATGTAATAATCACGTTTGAACTCAAAAGCTATAAATTGTAGCTTCAAATAGAATCAATTTTAGAGGCAGAATCAATTCTACTTTAGAAAAACCAAACACCTCAAAATCATTTCAAAATCAATTCTACCTCTAGAATTGCTTTTGCCTCTTCAAAAACCTAAATCATGTTAGAAATAGAGAAGCAAGAGTGAAAGGAAGAGAAAGGAGAGAGAGAGAAAAGGAAAACAGAAAGTTGTTATTATTCAGTTATTATTCTGTTACATCATTCTGTTACATTTATACAGTAGGAATAGGGGTTAGGGATGGAATTAGACTTTGTGTCTAATTCCCTTTTCTACGGGATATATTGCAGAACTATTCTTATATCTCTAATAAATCAAACATATACTTAGTATAACATTGAAAACTTGGTTTGAATCTAAGTAGGATTATTCAGCTATCCTAGTTCGAACTGAAAGTTGAAACTAGTTATAGGTGTAAAGTAGCCAACAGATGTGATTAAAAATATGCACAAAAAGAAACTATGATGAATTTCTTACATGAAGTTCATAATATTGTTTATGTCGGCATAGGTACTTGGAATTGTTCCACTTAATTTGTTAAAGCTGAAGTCTCTGAAAGTGATGTCATATTGAGAATAAGTTAAAAAACCACAGAAAATTTGTCATAAAAAACATTCAAGCAATATAACAAGCTGGAGAGCTATAAAAATGGCATATCTATCCAATCATTAATTACAAAAACAAAGATACCAAGGTTACATAATAGCTAGACTAACAGAAGAAACTTTAATAGTTAGTTATAATCAAATAAAATGTAGCAAGTAAGCAATTACAAGTATTTTAATGATGTCATAGTCCTGAGATCAGGTAGTGTTCCATTGATGTTGCAATTCCTTAGAATCCTGTGAAACAGTAAGATAAGATAGACAACGATATGTTAAGACTGCCTCTTTTTCTGTTTTTTTTTTCTATTTCTGAAAGAGACAGAAAAATCAACTCACAGTTTGCTTAACGATGTCATATTATTAACTTGTGGTAAAGATGCATATTCAGATCCATTTAAATCACTAATTCTCCTGAATATCACAGTTGAACCGAAGCTAAGTATAAATAATTAAAATGAAAGTTAAACTCCATCCCATGCTTTATTAGTATATAAAATATCATACATACAAGTCAGTTAAGTTTCTCAAAAGTGAAATTTTGGAAGGAATTGGTCCACTTAATCCACTCCCTTGAATGATTCTGCCAAAAGTAAAGTAACCATGAACAATTTTAATTTTTGAAGTCGAGCAATACAAAAACAATCATATTTGAGGAAAATTAAAAATAAAAAAGGAGAGTGCATACAGCGTATTGATATTAGTCCAGTTTTGAATAAAATCGGGTATCTTTCCCGAGAATAGGTTGTCTGAAATTTGGCTGCATTGATAAAAGGCGTGAAAATATGAAGCATCATAAAAATCATTTTTTAATTTAGTCACCAGTAATCACTAAATGTCACCATAAAAATTTTAAACTTACAAATCTTGCAATGTAGTGAGCTTGGCCAATGTCGCAGGTAGCTCTCCAGAAAAATTGTTAGAAGAAAATCGCCTATATATAATTGAAAAACAAAACATGAAAGATGATTCTAAGCCATGGAAATCAAAGTGGACTTTAAACACTAGGCTTTCATATTGGGAGGAGAAGGTCAATTAAGGAAAATAATAAAGTACTTACAGTGTTCGAATCTGAGGTAGATTCCCAAGCTCAGAAGTAATATTTCCAGACATTTGATTGGCCGTTAACTCCCTGTCCATTTCATGTTAAAGTTAAGTTTGAGTAAAGGTCTTTCAATTGAACACATACGTGTTTATGTGCTTATGAAATAGATATTTTTAGCTGGGATAATGAGAAACTCACAACTGAATCAGGGTTGATATATTTGCAATCTCCTTTGGTATTGAACCCGTTAACCGATTTCCAAGTAGATTACTAAGATGATTAAGAAACATGTTTTCATTCAGTTATTTTTTAATGTAATTACTACAAGTCTACAATAAAACGAATGCAAAGAGTCGAACAAAAGAATAAATAGGTAATAAGACCCATGTGTAAAGTTTTAGAAGATTCATATAGAACAACCCGTGATTAAAAACCAGAAAAGAAAAATAAGAGACAAATCATACATGTTAAGAAGATTCGTCATGGAGCCCCATTCTTTAGGAATTGTACCGTTCAAGTAATTGCGAGAGAGGTCACTGTAATAGAGGGAGCGGGAGTGGGAGAGAGAGAGAGAGAGAGTTTGTCATGCAAAATACTATATATAGATACAAGCAGTTGAAGATATTAAACAAGTTCAATAATATGGTTAATTGGATGTGGAAAAGTGTGAGAAACACTTACATAGTTTGAAGGTATTGCAACCTGTTCAGTTCTCGTGGGAGAGTGCCTTGAAGATTTTGCCCTTTCAAACTTCTGTATGTTCATTTTTTCATTAAAAAGTTATTAAAGGAAAATAATTTTATGTTTCTCAGTTCGTAGATTTAAAAGGAAAAATTGCAACAAGTTCTTCTACAACAAAGTTTTAAAGCTGACACTACTATATGTCAAACATAACTTAACAAAAATACATATGTTTGATAATTGATTTTACTTTAAAATCTTAATTGTATTGTAAGGTATAGCACTAGTATAGATGCGTATAATGATGAGAACATTAATTTCGTTGTAGGGTATAAGCATATCAATTAAGTTTGCTGCGTGGAATTAACCGATCTAACTCGTGTGTACATACATACTTTATACAATATCAATTCCTGCCTCTATATCAATGTAAATACTTGATTGCTATTGTAAATGAAAAAATATTCAAATCGAATTAACTAGATTTAGAAGTGGTGATAGAAAGGGGTCATTTCCACGAAAAAGAGACTTACATTATAGTAACATGACAGAAGTTCTCACCAGGAACAGAGCAGTTACAGGTAACATTGTTCTCTAAGATTTTGGGTATGGGAGGCGTAAACCAGTTAGGTTCGTTGCTGCATGGATCTATGTCGAAGTTCCAGTCCTTCTTACCAAGTGATATAGCTATATCTTCAAGAGCTTTCTCTAAATATACAAATTCAGAAGCTATTAGTGAAAATTTTCTAATCAACACAAACGTCATCAAATATATATACAGAATTCCTATATGAGCAGAAAAATACATGGTATTTAAACTAACATGAATTCTTAGATAAAATACACTAAAAAGAAATATCAGATTGAAGATATTTCTTTATGATTTGGGAGCTATGTAGAAATACATATCATACTTTCGTCCGGGTGAACTGTAGTAGCTCCAAAAGCTGTTAGAGATATGAGCCATATGGCAATGAGTGAAAGGAAGAAAAACTGAGAGGAAGTGTTCATGTTAATATTAACAAGAAAAAGAGAAGTTGAAATAAATCAATAATTTAGAGGTAGAGAGTATGAACATATATAGCGTATGTATTTGGACTTTGAAGTTCTTTGTACATATAAATGCATAGTTATTAGGGTGGTGTAAATTTTGTATTTCATTGTTTAGTTCTAATGAAATCGGCGGCTAAACCCACACATTAGTATTAAGTGTTAAGAAGAGGACAATTGTGTGTTCAACTTGCATCCGAGCATAACAAATGTTTGTGCAACTTTTTACTATTGATAAGTACTTACGACTTACGTGACACGGTGGTGTCAATTTGTTCTTTAAAATTATTGATATGTCAAATGCAAAAGTCATCAATCATATTAGTCCTTTCGAAAGGGTTAATCTAATCCCTAAAACCGTTTAGGAATAACTAGTTTGATTGAGATTTTTTTTTAATTTAAGCATTATGTTTAAAATTTTCTTATATTAGGACAAAAAAATGAGATCATCAACAATTTTATAAAGCAAACTGATGAATCAGGCACAGACAAAACAAACTAATGACAACTATTTCAGGTCAAAGATATTTAATAACCATTGATGATTGCCACAATGATGAGTCATGAAACATATATTTAAAGATTGGGGACGGAAATGGCTCAGAAAAAGCATATTATAATATGCATGTGTTTTGAATGGAAAGTGTCAAAATCAAACATCATTATTTAAAAAATCAAACGTCATTTAGACTATTATGCTTGTGTTTTTGAATTGAAAGTGTCAAAAATAAAACTAATTATTTAAAATATTTACTTGGTTTTAATTAATGCTTTCTTATACAGCGAGAATTCTTCTGTAGAATCAAAACCATCTATCGACTCGTTTTCCATATTCAACTCTGCAACCAACACCAACTAAGAGTTGCCGTCTATAGGGAACCGAAACTCCGCTGCGAGGACTCCACCACTGTCAAGCTCTGCTGTGAAGCTGCAACCTTAAAGTTGGTATAAACACTAAGTGCCAAACCTCCTAAAACAGTGAGAAACCTCAATATTAGAGCATAGAAAGCTGGGAAAATAAACGGAAATTCATACAAAACGTTCCCAAGACCATCCACTAATTTCTTGAAGTTAAGCTCACTCACAATATAATTAAATGCATCATCAAAAAGCTTTTAAGTGCTGGCACAATTGGAGAAACATCGAGATCAAGTGAAAGGAAATCAAGAGCATAGTAATCACAAGCCATCGCTTTGTAATATTGATTAACCAAGTGAACAAACATGACCAATTATAGAAGATTTTGCTTCTTCGGACGTGTCACTCATAATTCTGAAGTCGAGAAAAGAAAGTTAGACTCCCAGGAGGTGGATATGCGTGGAAATATCCATACTCAAGTAGTTGTCTGAGATTGCATTATATGTAGCGTTCATAAGATCCAAGACTTTCAATCCTTGTCTCTCAATAGCCTCTTGCTCATTAAGGTTGACTCCATCAACCCAATCCACTACTAGTACTTTGGCACTTGTGTAATTCAAAATACCAAGAACACAAATATCTTGTTTATTGGTATACAATTTCTCAAGTCTCCTTGCATTTTTCCCTCATGTAGTAACTTATTAGCACCACCAGAGGAGTAACTACTATTAGTAACACCACCAAACACAACCAATACATAGTCAACATCAAGCGACCCTATTATGTCATAAGCTAAGCCGCATCCTAAGATGACATTGCATGTCTAACAATTGTTATGTGTGTATTGTTCTCTGTGTTACTGTCAACAGTAATTGTTCTATTTCCAATGGAAGTGGTTTGATAACCATAATCCAACCATGACATCACCTTGGCTTCTGGTGGAGATTTCTGGTAAAGCCAAAAGTAAGCCTCCCGATAATCATCAAAGATGACCTGTGTTGCAGATGACACTCTGGTCGTGGACGCCTCGAGAAGCAACACCATATCACTGTTCTTTAAGAAAAGGCTATGAGTTATATATCTATTACACCCTTAGAAGAACCTTTTGAAACACCAGTTCCTTTATCGGAACCACTTTGTAATGTTTGGCTTCTTGCTCGCACAACCTGGCTCAAATTCTTCAAAGTGGCAGAAACAGCAATATCACTAATGAGGCATACTGCAGGTGGGACTGTTCAAAAAAGTTGTGAATCAAACCAAACCAACGAACCGATCTGAAGTTAAAATAACCATACTATCATGCTTGGTTAGTGAATCCAACCATGTTATACATACAATTCTAAAACCAAATTGTTCTGGGTTGGGCCTGCCCTTGGTCCAACTCCATGTGAGGCCCAACCCAATTATGTCGGTCAAGGTATATTGGCCAGTTCTGCCCTTGACTGCGTCGGGCAGCAACTTCCATTCCCCGTAAGGAGGCAACCTCATCACACGGGAATAAACCCAGTCAGTCTTAGGAAGATCATCGCCGGTCAGGAGGACCTCGAGGTCATCTTCCGATCCTCTCCGTGACTAAGACTGATCCCCTCACACGACCTCGCGTCTGGCGGGGAGCATCCACGATGAGCAGAAGCACCTCACGTGCATCCTCCTCGTAGGACTGACTATCAACGTCTCCGAATATCACGGAGTCTTCGTGGTTCCGGAAAGACCGCATCCATATTAAGATGCTTCATGGTAGTACTATTCTAGAAAATTATAGAAACTATGAAATGTTCTTTCTGATTCTCTTCTATGAAATGCAATACTTCAACAGAGAAATTTTCTTCTACTTTTCTTAATTAGTGTTCAGTTTCTTAATTGTTAATATTCTTACTAAGTTATTGTCTTTTTGTACGGTTGAATTATTACATGAAAAGTGAACAACAGTATATGTATGACACAAAATTACATGTAAGTTGATAGTACCATGGATAATCAAATTTACATGATCAAAGGAGGAGATAAAAAGTTACCCAATCAAGAAGATAGAATGCCTCCTCCTTTGACCGATAAAGGGTGTTATTCTTTCCACTAATGATTTCTAAGACAACAATTCCAAACCTATAAACATCTGCTTTCTCTGTCAAATAACCATGCATTGCGTATTCAGGAGCCATATATCCGCTATATAATTGGAACATATCATTAAAATAACTTGATTTAAGTATACAACATGATATCAGATGTCTTAATTAATAAAAATATAAAGTTTTAATTAAATTTATTAACTTTTTTATAGTACTTTTAAGTCAACTAGGAGAAAGCAAGAATTATAGTTACTCACTAGGTCCCAGCAATTCTAGTGCTAATGTGAGTGTTGTCCTCTTCATCAAGCTTGGCTAAACCAAAATCAGATAACTTTGGGTCAAGATCTTTATCAAGCAACACGTTAGTGGCTTTGATGTCCCTGTGAACAACCTTCAATCTTGATTCTTCATGGAGGTATGCCAATCCTCTAGCAATGCCAACACAGATCTTCTTCCTACACTACTAAAAAAAAGACATTTGAGAAAAAGGTTTTACATCGGGTATCAAAATATATGATGTAAAAAATACAATTAACAAACTTTTTACATCAGGTATTTATTTGCAATGATATAAAAAATAAGAAAAAATATATATTTCGCTACCTATTACATCGGGCAATCGCATCCACCGATGTAAAAAGTTTTCAGAAAAATATACGGTGGCATTTTTTTAAATAAGAAACAAGGTGGCAGAAATGTTAATAAAAAACAAGTAAGATATTACATCGGTTAACTAAAAACCGATGTAATAGCTTCAATGGCAGATATTAATATATAAAATAAATTAAAACAATTACATCGAGGCGATTTTTAAACCGATGTAAAAAACTAAGAAAAAAATGCTTGCATCGGGTATTAGTTTCCACCGATGTAATAGGTTCCAAACCCTTACATCGGTTATTAGGATCCACCGATGTAATAATGTCTCCACTATACAAACCCTTACATCGGGTATTCGTTTCCACCGATGTAATATGTTCCAAACCCTTATTTCCTAAATTCACAATATTTCAATATTTCCACTGTACAATACTCTCCTTGCCGTCGTTTCACAACGCATACGCCTCACTGTACGCATACGACATTTCCGTTCACGACTTTGAAGTTCTACGACCGTCGTTTCCCAGCCACCATCATCAACGTTTCCGTTCACGACTTTGAAGTTCTTCGACCGCCGTTTCTGGTCATCGTCTTCGACCGCCGTTTCTGTTCGTTGGTCATCGTCTTCGACCGCCGTTTCTGTTCATCGTCGTTTCTGTTCGTGTTTCATCGTCTTCGACCGCCATTGATGATGATGTTTGTTGTGAATTTGCAGATTTGTTTGATGAACACAGATAATGAACACAAATGATGCGGTTTGTTGAAATTTGATTACGTCTCCTTGTCGTCGTTTCACATCTCCTTGCCGCCGTTTCACGTCTCCTCGCCGCCGTTCACGTCGTTCACGGCTTTTCACCGGCCGATTCACGCCCTTCCTCGCTCGCCGTTTCAACTGTAAGTCACATTCTTCACTTATTTGATCCATAATGTTATTGATTCAATGTTTGTTCTCTTGATTTAAGTCAATACCTTATGTTAACACTAGGTAGAAATTCATTTCAAGCGCTTTAACTTGAACAATTTTCTTTGAGAAACTTTATTTATCCAAATTTCTAAGTTTTTTAAGAATAACAGAAGGTTTTATTACAAGATATGATAGATTCATGAGAGTTGAGTTAAAAAAGCAACAATATCTTTAAGAGAAGATAAGGTGTTATGCATTGTGAAACCATAATCGAAAATATTAGAAAACATACCTAGAGAATAGATAAATCTTGTTCTAAGGGATGATTAACATGCTAGAGGAGATAATGCTACAGTACATTATGTACAGATTTTTTGTTTGAATTCATTTTAACTTATAATATTTTTAACGAGATAAGTTTTGTCATGTGATATTTAAATTGATTTTATCAAAACAATTTATAATATTTTTTGAAATTCTTCAAAATTATTTATAAAAACAATTTATAATCTATAACAATATATATAATACATGATTCATTGACATCAGGTGTTAGAATAGATATCTCAGAAAAAGTTTCCGCAATTGGTTTTATATATATATATTTTTTGTTGATAATGTAGATATAATATTGTATAGATAGAGATAGATAAGGAACGGCTTGAAGAATTTGTGGCTACTAGCTAGCCACCATTATTGTCACGTTCTTTTTCATGTCTCTTAAAAATGCAATTAATATAGTGTCAATAACACCAACCAACAACCAACCATAGAAAATTAGCAACTGAATCTTGAAATCTTAATAGAGTTATCACCTTGCCATTGAAATTTGATTCTATTTTTCTTTCTCCGCGAAGCAGCGCAACTTGCAATCTCAGAATCTCCGTGAAGTAGCGCAGCCGCGGGCACACCGTTCGTCAGACCTTCCTCCGTGTGAACATAGTTATGGATCGTAGTTGGATGAGAGCTAATCGATTAAGTGACGAGTACGAACATGGAGTGATGAAATTTCTACAGTTTGCTGAAAGTAATGCTGACAAAAGTCTTCCTACGCTTTTTCTCTGTCCATGTGTTCGTTGTGCAAATAAAGAACCAAAACGTAGTAAGAAAGAAATCATGGATCATCTAATTTGTGTAGGGATTTGTCAAAGTTATACAAAATGGATATGGTACGGTGAAGTAGTAGCAAAGTCAAACGTGTCTCAAAGAGATGATGTTAGTGTAGAAATAGATGATCGTCTAGAAGACATGATGCGTGATATTGGACAAGATTCGTTTAAGAGGGCACATACGTATGATACTATATGCAATGACAAAGATAAACCATTGTACCCGGGATGCAAAAAATTTACACGTCTGTCAGCCGTGTTAAAATTATTTAATCTGAAGGCAAAGAATGGGTGGACTGACAAAAGTTTTACCGAGTTGCTTGAATTGTTGACTGAAATGCTTCCAGAAGGTAATGTAATGCCAAGTCGTTATTACGAGGCGAAGAAAATATTGTGTCTGATGGTTTTGGAGTATGAAAAGATACATGCATGCCCTAATGATTTCATATTATACAGAAAAGAGTATGAAAGGTATAATAATTGTCCAAAGTGCAAGGCTTCACGCTACAAAAAGAAAGATGGTGAATCAATTGATGATGAGGTGGTCAAAAAGGGTCCTCCTGCGAAAGTGGTATGGTACCTACCAATAATTTCAAGGTTCAAGAGATTATTCGCCAATGCAGATGACGCAAAGAATCTTAGATGGCATGCAGAAGAAAGAAAATATGATGGACAAATTCGTCATGTAGCTGATTCTTTGCAATGGAAGAAAATAGATTCTTTGTTTCCAAATTTTGGCAAAGAGTCGTGAAACCTTAGACTTGGACTTGCTACTGATGGAATGAATCCATTTGGTAATCTGAGTACTAACCATAGTTCTTGGCCTGTTCTCTTGATGATTTACAACCTATCTCATAGGTTGTGCATGAAGCGTAAATATATTATGTTATCGATGATGATATCGGGCCCAAAACAACCATGAAATGACATAGACGTTTATCTAAGTCCACTGATTGATGATTTAAGAGTGTTGTGGGAGGAAGGGGTGGATGTTTTTGATGCGTATTCTGGCGAACAGTTTAATATGCGTGCCATGTTGTTTTGCACCATCAACGATTTTCCGGCATATGGTAATTTGTCTGGGTATAAAGTTAAAGGGCATAATGCGTGTCCTATATGTGAAAAAGACACTTGTTACCATCAGCTTGAAAAAGGAAAGAAGACCGTTTATCTGGGGCATCGGAAATTTCTAAAACGTTATCATCCATATCGTAGATTGCGGAAAGCTTTCAATGGGGAACAAGAGCATGGTGTTGCTCCAAATCCCTTGTCTGGAGAGGAAGTTTATCAGCGACAATAGGGACTTGATGTTGTCTTTAGAAAGTACCAAAAACGATCTACTGTGAAAAATGTATAGAAAAAGAGATCGATTTTCTTCGATCTTCCATATTGGTCTAGCCTTGATGTAAGACATTGTATTGATGTGATGCACGTGGAGAAAAATGTATGCGATAGTGTAATCGGAACACTTCTCAACATTCAAGGCAAGACAAAAGATGGTATTAATGCTCGTCTGGATTTGGGTTTGATGGGTATACGAGAAGAGTTAACTCCATAATATATAGGTAACAAGACATATTTGCCTCCTGCCTGCTACACTTTGTCTAAAAAAGAGAAAACAAGTTTTTGTGAGTGTTTACAAAGTATCAAAGTGCCGCATGGTTACTCATTAAATGTCAAGAGGCTTGTATCAGTTAAAGATTTTAAATTAGTTGGCTTAAAATCTCACGACTGTCATGTCTTAATGCAACAACTACTACCATTGGCTATTCGTGGGATATTGCCTAACAACGTAAGGAAGACTATAACTAGGTTGTGATTATTTTTCAATGCAATTTGTTGTAAAACCATTGATCCACTAAAGTTAGACGATTTGGAAAATGAGGCTGCAGTTATCTTGTGCCAATTAGAGATGTATTTTCCTCCTTCATTTTTTGACATTATGGTTCACTTGATTGTTCATCTAGTAAGGGAGATTAGATTATGTGGTCCAGTTTTTTTACGGTGGATGTATCCAATAGAGCGATACATGAAGATTCTAAAAGGGTATACAAAAAACCCACACCGTCCGAAAGCATCGATTATTGAGAGGTACATTGCAGAAGAAGCAATTGAGTTTTGTTCTAACTATTTGTCAGGAGTGGATATTGTAGGGGTTCCCAAGTCTCGTCATGATGGAAGATATGAGGGTGTGGGTACACAAGGTTTAAAAGTCAAGAGCTTAAGTATTGATGTGGTTGTTCAAGAGCATTTGTATATATTGAATAACATAGATGAAGTTCAACCTTACTTATCTGCTCACAAAAGAATCATAAAGAAAAAGTACCCCAAGATGAATGAAAGAGGGTTGTTAAAAGAGCATAATAAGAGTTTCTCTGAGTGGTTTAAAGAAAGAATTGCTAATGAAGATAGTGTTTCTAATACAATTAAGTGGTTGTCTTACGGGCCTAAATGTAACATAATAACTTGGAGTGGATATGATATTAATAAAACCTCTTTTTATACAAAGTCAAAGGATGACCGTAGTACCATGCAAAATAGTGAGGTAATGATTGTGGCCGAGTCCATGCACTTCTCTAGTGCTAAAGATGAAAACCCAGTTATGGCATCTACACCGTACTTTGGGGTGATTGAAGAGATTTGGGAAGTTAATTATGTTGTGTTTAAAGTTCCTGTATTTAAATGCAAATGGATTGATATCAACAGTAGTGTCAGAATCGATGAATTTGGAGTTACACTGGTTGATCTTAGCAAGTTAGCTTATGCGAACGAACCATTCATCATGGCATCTCAAGCAAAACAAGTGTTTTATGTCACAGATCCTTCTAATAAAAAGTGGTCAGTGGTTTTGCAAGGAAAGGTCCATGATAGTGATGAAAATCATGATGAGAATCTTGATATTTCTGAAACTCATCCTTTCTCAACAAATGTGACTACATTCATTGAAGAAAATGAAGGGGATGATGTGCATGCTATTCGCATAGACCATGAAGAAGGGATATGGGAGGACTAGTAAGATTTTTTGTATAAGTTAATTCCACGTTACTTTATTTTCTAATTGTTTTTATTTTGTGCTTAATTTTATTTCTAATTGTTTTTATTTTGTGCTTAATTTTATTTCTAATTGTTTTTATTTTGTGCTTAATATTATTTCTAATTATTTTTGTTTTGTGTAAACAGATACATGGGTGATTCAAACCCCAATAAAAGAAGAGTTAGAGGTCTCACTTTAATGACACAAATTGACAAAGTTCATCAAACAGGTGAAAAGATAAAGGTTGAGTTTAATGCAAGAACCTATGAATGTATTGGTGTTGGTAAAAATGCTGCACATTTCAAGAGTTATATAGCATCTCTTGCTCGACAATATTGTAGTATTGTGAAAAATGATTGGAAAGAAGTAGATGAAGGCGTAAAAGATGCTATTTGGACTGATATTCAGGTATTTTAAATACAATACTTTATTATATTTTATAATCATATACTAATTAACAACATATGACATATACTATATTTGTAGGCTCATTTTACTATTCCAGAATGTAAAGATCCAAAGAAGGATAGGTTGAAGAAAGAATGGATTAAATATGCGGGAGAGCGATGGAGAGGTTTTAAGACACAACTCACAGATAGATATATTCATCATCCCATAGAAAATGATCCTCCTCCATATGTCAAGTATAACTTTATTACGGAAGACGCATGGAAAGAGTTTCTCAAGATTCGAGATACCCCTGAATTTAAGGTTAGTAGGAGTTATATGTTTTTGTGTGCATAACATTTTTATTATATTTAGTGATTAATTACTTGTTTGAGTTTATAATAGGAAAAAAGTCAGAAGGGTAAGGATAATGTGGCCAAGAATGTATACCCACACGTATTGTCTCGTGGAGGGTATCGCTTACTTGAGGAGAAAATTATGAAAGAAAAGTCATCATCGAGAGATAATTCCACATTAGATGATAATGATAGTCCATCTCCACCATCACGCCATGAGTTATGGAAGAGAGCACGACAAAAGAAAGGAGGAGAATACACATCAAAATCTACACAAGAGGTTGTTGAAAAAATTGTAAGTAAACAATGAAAAATTATTCAAGTATCATTATATTTGTGATTGATTAATTGATGTTTTTGCATTTTGTAGGATTCTCTAGTTCAAGAAGCTGAAAAAGGTGCAATTGTTCCGGATGGACGTAACGATATCTTATCATTAGCCATTGGAACATCTGAGCATGGAGGTCGTGTTCGTGGTGTTGGAAAACACCATAAACAAAGCACTTACTTTGGAAGATCACGTCAACATATCGACGTAAATGAACAACTTGCAATATTGGAAACAAAACTTATAGCTGAACTTGAAGAAAAGTTGGTTGAAGAGCGTAAGATGTTTCAACAATCATTAATGGAGACACTTAAGTCTATGGGTTTATCACAAAGCACAGGTGATAATAAATGCATTGAAAAATTGGAAATTATTGATGGAAGCGGAAAAGGAAGTTGTTCAGCTGCAAAGGGAAGCACAAAAGACGTGGAAGTTGATGATGTTCAGAGATTGTTACTCATGGTTTTGAAAATGGATGATAACCATTTGGCAATACAATTAAGTCATTGTGTGAGTGTCTCTAATTTTTATGTTTCAGCTAAATGTATCAGAGAGTTATTGGTGGGTTTAGGTCATTGGCTTGACGTGTCTATTCTGCAAATTTGGTGCACGTAAGTACATTTTATTGTTTTATTAAAGTCAATCTATATTAATATGTTATATCTCTCATCACTTTGATTCTAATGTTTATTTTAAAATTATTCAGGTATATTCATCGTGTTTGTCTTGAGAATTCCATTTCAGAATTATATGGATTTATGGACCCTGCTAGGTGTATTTATAATGATAATGTAGCGAAATCTCAAGAAGATGTTAAAAATTACGTACTAGAAAAGTTACGTGATGAAAATAGAGTGTGCCACTTACTACCATTAATTCATGGGTAAGAATTTTTATGAAATTGTGTTTTATATTATTTAATTTTGATAACATATATATTTTATGTGACTTTTCTGTTTCCACACACACGTACAGGAGACATTGGCAATTAATAGTCATGTGTCCAAGAGATAATTTAGTTGTCGTATTTTGTTCACTTCATTGGGAAATTGACCATCACACGAAGAAAATTATTACAAAGTAAGTTTATCTTTCATGTGACTTTCATTGACAACTAATAGTTATGTGATTTTTCATTGGCGAGTAAATTTAGCTATGTGATGTTTATCTTTCTGTATTAGTTCTTTTGTGATTCATCAAATGGAAAATGGAAATAGAAAAAAGGCTACATGGCTTCATCTCAATGTAAGTGTGATGTAAATTGTAATTTTATAGTTAAATTTATGATAAATATTCACTAATTATGTCATTCAATTGTAGACAAGACAACAACATAACTCTAATGATTGTGGATACTATGTGATGAAAAATATGTTGGATATTGTCTCTGCTAATATAACCGAGAATTGGATGCAGGTACTAAAAATAACTTTACTTTGTTATTTACTTTTTGTTTTTCGACTTAATATGAATTTTTTAAAAATAACTCTATATTGTTATATTTATGTATTATAGGTATTTGATGACCCAACAGAATTAACATCAGATGATTTGTATGATTTGCGACTTCGTTGGGCAAAATGTTTCTTTGAGTTACATGAAAATTAAGTTTATCTTGGTGAGTTTTATAGAATTGTATAAGTTGTGGTTTTTGCACAATACTTGTGGTTTTTGCACATGTATTGAGTTTCTTGATTTTTTTTGCTGATGTTAATTGTTATTATTTATTGTCAGGCAATGTGATTTTGGTGTTGTCTACCGAAGATTTTATATTGGTAATTCAAGTTTGGAAACTTAGAAATAGTTGAATATTTTTGTATATTTTGTGAATAATATGTAATTGTAAGTTTTGAAAAAGACTTATAAATAGTTGAATATTGTTGTATATTTTGTGAAGAATTTGTAATTGTAAGTTTGTTGTGAGTTTGTTTATTGTAATACAATACAAGTTTGTAATACAATTGTTCAATTTGTAAGTTTGTTGTGAAAAATATGAAAACATCGACCTAGATGTGATATATGTGATGTTGGAAAGCTATGAAATCTATATAGCGACATAAATATAGTATGTGTGATATTGGAAAAATATGAAAAAATGGGTACAAATTATATTTGTACAGGGAAACATCCAGAAAATAGATAATCTATTCCAAAAAAATTTCATACATTTTACATCGGTTATTACTCAAAACTGGTGTAAAAACTTTCAAAAAGGGACTTTTTACATCGGTTGGGAGTAATAACCGATGTAAAAAGTTGCGTCACTAGGGACTTTTTACATCGGGTATTACTTCCAACCGATGTAAAAAACTGGATCAATTTTTTAAAAAATGTGCATAATAACTGTTTATTACATCGGTTCTTAAATTATAACCGATGTAAAAAAGGGAATTTTTACATCGGTCCCAGAACCGATGTAAAAAAGGGACTTTTTACATCGGTCCCAGAACCGATGTAAAAAGTACCTGATTTACTATATCGCCTGACTTTACATCGGACCTAGAACCGATGTAAAAAGTCAGTTTCACCCGATGTAAAAAGTCATTTCTGCACTAGTGCTAGTTGACCAATCTAATCTTATTTGGAGTTCTTGTGGACCTTTATTTGTGAAAGTAATAAGAATAAGACAATGGTACTACATAGTCATGTGCTAAGTTAGAAAATGTGAAACATGGCATAAATAGCAATCCGAAGTAGATCATATACCAAATAAAGCACGAGCTAAACTATTGTTTTCCAGGTATTCGTATATCAATAACAACTGATCTCCCTCCACACAACAGCCATGGAGGTTAATGAGATAAGGATGTTGCAATGTAGAAATCATGCCTATCTCATTTAAAAACTCACGATTCCCTTGCTTTGATTTAGAAGAAAGTTGTTTTACTTCTATCAATGTCCCATTGGGTAAACATCCCTGTATTTTGAGGAACGCTATTTTGTAAGAAGTTAGAATGCTTCCTCCTTTGCCCGATGAAGGGTGTTGTTCCTTCCACTAACGACTGCCAAAGCAACAATTCCAAAACTATAAACATCTACTTTGTCCGTCAAATAACCATGCATTGCATATTCATGAGCCATATATCCACTGCATAATTGGAAAGTTTCATTGAAATGACTTTGATATCAGACTTTTGGTTCATAAAAATATACAATTTGAATTGAATTCAATAACTTTTGGAGTACATTTTAATAAACTAGGAGAAGGCAAGAATTATAGTTACTCACTAGGTCCCGGGAATTCTAGTACTAATGTGAGTATTGTCCTCCTCATCAAGCTTGGCCAAACCAAAATCAGATATCTTTGGGTCAAGATTCGTATCAAGCAATACATTAGTGGCCTTGATGTCCCTGTGAACAACCTTCAGTCTTGATTCTTCATGGAGGTATGCCAAACCTCTAGCAATACCAACACAAATTTTCTGCCTTGTTGACCAATCTAATTTTATTTGGTGTTCCTCTGGACCTTTATTTGTACAAGTAATAAAAATCAGAAAATGATACCACATAGTCAAGTCCAAAGTTAAAATTCTGGACTATCACATAAATAAAAACCTGAAGTAGACCATATAGGAAAAAATACCAAATAAAGCACGAGTTAAACTATTGTTTTCCAAGTATTCATATATCAGCAACAACTGATCTCACAACCATGGAGGTTAACGAGATAAGGATGTTGTAATGCAGAAATCATGCCTATCTCATTTAAAAACTCACGATTCCCTTGCTTTTATTTAGAAGAAAGTTGCTTTATTGCTATCAATGTCCCATTGGGTAAACATCCCTGCATTTTCAGAAATGCTATTTAGTTAGAAGTTTAAAAAGAATTTTCTGAAAAATACATGTAAATTTACAATAAAAGCGTAACACACAAGAAGATTTGCAATGCAACATACCTTGTACACGGGACCGAACCGTCCTTCTCCAATCTTATTGGAAACATAAAAGTTATTTGTGGCTGCTTTGATTTGTCCTAAGGTAAATAAACCCGTTTGTAGGTCTAACATCTCCAGCTCTGTTAATTGAAGTAAAAGAAAGATCAAAGATCTCTTGAACTAATAAAATTAAACAAGGACACTCTGCATCGACATTCATTTGCTAGCAAAAGTTAGACAACAATGGCAACAAAATTCATTGGTAATCAACTTTTGCTAAAGAGTTTTTCTTTCCAAAACATCTTTTCCACCAAAGGATACCAAATACTAGAATAATATCAGTATTGTAAGAAACACTGAGTAGCTATTGGAAGAATATTGTTAAACCATGTACCTAAAGGTAGATATCAAATACACGCCTTCCAAAGACTAGCATAAGTTTGATCATCTCTCAACATTATTTCATCTCTGTGTAGCTTCCTTTTTCCAGGCAAAACCCATAATAAGTCAAAAGAAATACGTGCAGTCGTGTACAATTTGTTAAATTGTAATTCATAGTGTCAAAGAAGATTTGATTTATTTTAGATTTAAATAGATTTGATTTAAGTCCAGAATAGATTTGATTTGATTTGATTTAGTAACAAAAAGATATTTTGGGATTTGGGCTTAGGGTGTAAGCTCAGTTATAAATAGAGGGAGTAACCCCTATTTTTCAAAAAAGCAAGTCAAGTAAGTCAATTCATTGTAATCACAGAATTTGCAGTTGCAAGTGATTAAGAAAGTTTTCCACAGTTTGTAGGCAGAGAGAAACTCTGCATAAATATTTGTCTTGTCTTCTTTTCTTTGTTTGTCTCATAATTAAATTGTCATTGTGGTAGAAATTCATCATAGGATTTGGTGGATTTCCAACATCTGGTATCAAGAGCTTTTGTTTCGATTCAAGGGAAGTGTCAATTAAGAACGATTTAAGAATTCACGATGACAAGTTATGGGAATGCAAACTATCCAGCAACGCTACCAATTCTGAAAGTTGACAACTATAAGAATTGGTGCAAACAGATGAAAGTCTTATTCAGGTGTCAAGGTCTTTGGGACCTTGTAAAAGATGGAGTCGAAGCGCTTGGCAAAAACGCTTCAGAAGAAGAAAAGAAGAAATACACAGAATCTGAGAAGCTGAGTTATAAAGCATTATTTATAATTCATCAATGTGTCAGCCCAGACAATTTCGAAAAGGTTAGTGATTCAGAATCTGCAAAAGAAGCTTGGGAGATCCTTGAGAAGTCTTTTGGAGGCGCTGAGAAGGTGAAAGAAGTGAGGTTACAAACTCATAAAAGGACCTATGAACTGCTTCAGATGGAAGACAGTGAAAACATATCTGATTTCTTCACTAGAGTTACAAAACTAGTAAATCAAATCAAGATATGTGGAGAAGCGTTAACAACAAGAGTTGTTGTGTCGAAGATCTTGAGATCTTTAGCTCCTAAGTTCGACCACATAGTGGTGGCGATAGAAAAGGGGAAAGACTTGTCGAAATTGACAAAGGAAGAGCTTCAAGGGACGCTTGAATCTCATGAACAAAGAATGAACGAAAGAGCTGCAGGAAAATTGAAGAGTGATGTGGCCTTGCAAGCACATTCAGCAAAAGAGACCAAAGGCAAAGGAAAGTGTTTCGACAGAGGTAGAGGTGGCTACAACAAATCGAATGAGGAAACCAAATCGAAGGAGATGTGTCGAATCAAAGAAGACCATACCAAGGCAACCAAAGAGGTGGTGTTGCAAATAGAGGAAGAGGTGGTGGTCGAAAACCTGATAAAAGTCACATTCAATGTTACAATTGTCAAAAATATGGACATTATCCGAGTGATTGTCCAGAAAAACGAAAGAATCAAGAAAGTTATGCAAAGCTTGCAAAACATGAAGAAGAAGAGATGATGCTGATGGTCACAACAAGAGATGAAGATAGATTCAAGGACCAATGGTACTTGGATTCAGGATGTTCATCACATATGTCTGGAAGGAAAGATTGGTTTGTCAATATAAATCCCTCAAAGAAAAATATGGTAAAATTTGCAAATGACAATACCCTGGCAGATGAAGGTATTGGTGATGTTATGATTATGAGGAAAGATGGAAAAAGGTCAGTAATCTCCAATGTGTTGTACATACCAGGCATGAAGAGCAATTTGCTCAGTATAGGGCAGTTGGTCGAAAAGAATTATAAAGTGTCAATCGAAGATAAGTTGATGAGAGTCGTTGATACAAATGGGAGAGTAATCTTGAAGGTTCCTATGTCTCAGAATCGAACCTTCAAGATTGAACTAAATGTGATGGAGCACAAGTGCCTTTCGACTGCAACTAGCAGAGATGAATGGATATGGCATTATAGACTAGGTCATCTCAACTTCAGAGACATTAGAGATTTGAAGAGAAGAAATATAGTTTCAGGATTGCCAGAAATTGACATTCCAAACGAGGTATGTGAGGAATGTGTGCAGGCGAAGCAACACAAGAATAGCTTCAGCAAGGATGCAGGAAGCAGATCGAAGGCTAGTCTTGAAGTCATATACTTTGATGTATGTGGACCAATCCAGGTGGATTCGATGGGAGGTAACAAATACTTTGTTACATTCATAGATGATTTCAGTCGAAAGCTATGGACTTACTTGATCAAGAAGAAAAGTGAAGTGATCAAAGTATTTACCAGGTTTAAGTCTATGGTCGAAAGACAAAGTGGTCGAAAGCTCAAAGTTTTGAGAACTGATGGTGGTGGAGAATATGTGTCGAAAGACTTCGACAGATTATGTGAAAAGGAAGGGATTGTGCATGAGGTGGTGCCACCCTATACTCCACAACAAAATGGAATTGCAGAAAGGAAAAATCGAACCATCATGAATATGGTGAGAAGTATGTTGAAAGGCAAGAGTTTACCTAAAGAGTTTTAGGGTGAAGCTGTTTCGACTGCAACATACATTTTGAACAGATGTCCTACAAAGAAGCTAGAAGGAATTACTCTAGAAGAATGTTGGTCTGGTGTGAAGCCTAGCTTGAGTCATCTGAAGGTATTTGGATCTATTGCATATAGACATGTGCAGATCAGTTGAGAAGAAAACTTGATGACAAGTCAAGTCAAATGATCCTAGTTGGATATCATTCGACAGGAGGCTACAAGTTGTTCGATCCAGAGAACAAGAAGATTGTGATCAGCAGGGACGTGATCATAGATGAGTTTAAAGAATGGGATTGGACTGCAAATGTCAAGAAAGATTCAGTGGGAATCCTATTCGAAGAGCCAGAAACTCAAGAAAGATTAAGTTTGTCAAAAGTGAAATTCCAGAAGGAACCGGCCCACTTAATCCACTTCCTTGAATCGCACTATCAAGAACAAAGTAACCGTTGATAACTCTTTTTAAATGTCAAGTAATACCAAAACTAATATATTTGAGGAAAATTAAAATAAAAAGAGAGAGTGCATACAGTTTTCGTATACTTTTCCAGTTCTGAATATAATCAGGTATAATTCCAGAGAATTGATTGTCCTCTATTCAGTTGCATTGAGAGAGGGGCATCGTAAACACTATTTTTTAATGTAGTAGTCATTAAACATCACCATAAAAATTTGACTGAATATCAGAATAGATAAGAGATAAATCATACATTTTACTAATATTCATCATGGAGCCCCATTGTTTCGGAATTGTAATAGAGATAAAGAGAGGGAGACAAAGAGTTTTTCAAGAAAAATAATATATATTTATGTGTGTGTGAGAGTATTTGGAAGTTGTATTGGAATGTTGGAATTGTATTGGAAGTTGTAGCAATCTAGTTAGTCATGTATATAGGAAATATCATTCATGTATTTAGGAAGTAGCATTCTAACTAATTGTCTTCTAAATGTAAATTGCATTTATTTTTAGCAGTACATGTTTCACGATTTTGATATATTTGTCATCGAAGAAATTATCGGGTTGAGTCGCGGAGTAAGTCGCTCTCTTTAAAATGTTTCGCGATACTGTTCAAAATTATACAAAGCAGTCGAACTACTGCACTGCCTCCAGGATAAAATAGCCGAGTTCTATACTGTATGATTACTTCTTGTACGGTAGATAATCAGTCTAAAAATACACCCTCTGATGGTACATGATCATTCAAATATGGTATCAATACCACTCGTAGTATCTGGTACAAAGACCACTCATAATAATTACTCAAACAAAGAGAAATTCAAATAATTCTATAAAGAGTTTCTATTATCTCATCCTCTTATCGCTTCAGGATTCTGTAGCGACTGATTTTTAAATCAGAGTCGCCACTATTAGTTTTTATCCTAGGGAAGGGAATCTAACAGAAAACCCTAATTCGCAGACAGAGATTCTGGGTTTCGCACTTCATTAGACGAAAGGAAGGTGTTAAGCACCTTTCATCTACCTTGTTCACAAGGATACTAGGTTTTAGGATTATGTTTGGGTAAAATAGGGGTTTTAAGTCTTAATATGGGAAAGAGTTTGTTTTTTTTATAGGAGAACTCGCTACGATTTTTTGATCGTATGCCTATGTATCCTCTTAAGAGGAATCAGAGTCTCAATTCGTAGTTCGTATGGTTGGTGTTTTTTTAGGGGTTGCAAACCTACTTTGCATCACCTCGCATTTTGGCCGGGAGTAATAATTACGGAGATTTTGGCTAAATGCGCGATTAGTCCAAATCTGTTTAAAACCCTTTTGCAAAAATAATTGATTAGATTAGTTGATTAGTTAACTGTAAAAACTTGATTAATGCATGATTAAAAATATTTGATGCAAATAAATATGAAAAAATAATATA